CTGTTTATAATTATGCTTAATGACAGAATGAAAAATGTGCTTATAAGGAATGAAAAAAAGTGGGAAAATATGAGATTAATCAAAACTATAAACAAGAGCCAGATGGAAATTCTTAAATGGGAAAACACAGCGTCTGAAATAAATTAGAATTTGCTCCGTCTGTCTGCTCGGATGACACCCAGCTGGGCTAGTTCTGTCACTAAGTGTGGTGTTGACTGTCACAGGATGAATGCCACTCTGTTGATTGTGATCAAAATTAAGTGGTGGCATGTCCTCTGACGGCGAGATTAACTTTTGAAATTAAGATTATGCAGGAGAAGCTGTAATTCAGAGTCCCTGCGATTTATGTGTCATCGGTGATCAGAGTGGATGGATTCAGAGACCCCTGCAGGGAGCTGGGGGGTCCCAGAGTCTTCCTGTAAAATCAGGATGTGGTGTGACCATCTCCTTGAATCCTTCCCCAAATTCCCAGAAGGAAAGCCACCTGTTAGTAGCAGTCCCTGAGCACTGTTTCCCCAGGGGCTCTCTTACCTGGGGAGGGATGTGGGGACCAGGTGTTCTAGATCCGCCCCCCCCCACCCAGAGGGCGGATCAGATCGGGGGCCTGTGTCCCGTGGGTGCTCTGGAAGCATCCTTGCACACGGCGAGGCTGAATCAGTAAGGACACAAACAGAGACAGGCAAATCCCAAAAGAAACACGTCCTGGGGGCAAGCCACGGCCCACCCCAGGGACTTCCTTCCTCGCCTGCTCTTTGACCCACCGCCCGGGACCTGGAACTCCGCTTTCTCCTCAGCTGCCTCCTCTCCTTCCCTCCCTGAAGGCACCGGCTGGCCGTGGCCAGCGTGCAAACCCTGGTCCCCACGGACTCACTGCAGATCCACAGGTCTGCTTCACGGCAGAGTTTCTCAGCTGACTCTCAGCCCCCATCCTGTTAGGTCGCTGCTTCTGCCAGAGGATTTTGGTTTTGTTTTAATTGAGATATATTTGGCATGTAACATTGTGCATATTTAAGATGGTACCACGCCTTGATCTGATATGTTTATACACTGTGATTTGAAAGACATCTGACATAACATTGTGTGTATTTAAGATGGTACCATGTGTTGCTTTGATACATTTATACATTGTGATTTGAAATACATCTGATATATAACATTGTGCGACCTTAAGATGTACCCCACCTTGATGTGATACGTTTATACACTGTAATCCAATTGCCCTTGTAGCTGTAGTCAACACCTCTGTCCCATCCCATAATTAGCATTTCTATTTTTCCATTGAGAATAATCCAGATCTAGCCTCTTAGCAAGTTTGATGGTGATAACTGTACTTACATATATTTTTTGATTTACAGGAGAGATTTATTGGAAGAAAACATATAAATGCTACAGAAACTTTAATTTCCACTCGTACCGTGGTAATTGACAGCATGCCTAATTTAAAAAAAAAACATTTAAAATCCAGAATGCAGAAGGTACTGGACAGGTTGATTGCTGAGTCAAAGTGGTCAGTAAGCAGACCTCACACAGCATGATCCTCTGTACTGCGGTCTTTGATCACTATATTGTGTATTTGATCTCCAGGACTTATCCGTCTCTGCTCTGCAAGTTTGTTCCCTTAAACTCCCTCTCTCCTGTTCCCTCACCTCCCAGCCCCTAGTAAGCACCATTTTTCTGTTTTTACAATTTTGGTGTTTTTAGACCCCCCATACCCTGTGACTTACCTTACTTAGCATAATGCTCTCAGGGTCCATCCATGCTGCTGTCAATGCCGTCCAGATAGCCAACAGATATGTGAAAAGATGCTCGAAGTCACTATTCATCAGGGAAATGCGAATCGAACCGCAGTGCACGGTCTCTCACGCCGGCTAGAATGACTGTCATCCAGAAGACACAGGGTAACACGTGCTGGAGAGGGTGTGGAGAAAAGGG